ATAAAAATTAAGATATTTTGATATTTAAAGTTAATGAAGTATTCTTATACATTAATTTATTAAAGGTGTTAAAAAAATTTCATAGGCAGTGTTAATATTTTATTTGTTACCTTTTTTTTTGTTAAGGATAAAAAAATAAAAAATAAAAAAAATAATTTAAGAAAATTTTTTTATATAATCTTATAAATTATTTAAATTATTGATTGATTTATTTATTTATTTACATTCAAAAATAATATAAAAAATACTATAAAAAAATTATTTCTATGCCACCACTCAAATGAAAATATATTTAATCTTTGAACAAATTTGGAGGGCGTTCATCTAATTACAGAGAGAAGGAAATAGTTCTCTGCCAACAGGAGGTTGTATCAAGTAGTAAGTGGTTTGTTTCAGTTTAAATAATGTCTTGAGTTTGAGGCCTTGTACACGCAACGATCATCGTTAGGAGACTCACCCACTATTTTCAAGTGCGCGATGCGGGTCGGGTCCGGATTAGTCGAGGCGAAACCTCAGATACTAGGCAAAAAAAAAAAAAAAAAAAAAAAAAAAGAAAGAAATAGCCCCCCTCTCCCCTCCAAATCCCTAGATCCTAACTTACCTAGAATTTAGATTAGATTGGGTGATATATCTCGTGACTCGTTGAATATAGATAGTTGAGGTTTTGATGGAGAGCGGATTCCTGGAGAGATTGGTGAGGGGGATATGAAATTTGTAAAACTGGCATAGAATCGGGTTTAGGATTCCATGATCCTCCTGGGGCAATCCTTCATCTTAGGATTGGGGACTCCTTTGATTCAAACTGGTTACTAAAGAAATATGGTTATTGTTATATATATATATATATATTTTTTTTTTTTGATAAGCAGAATTATGGTCATATTACTCTTGTCGTGTTGTTATTTGAATGTCCTCAGTAATCTAGGCTTTTCTTTTCATTGATTGTTATGGACCTTATGCTACTTTGACCAAAATTTTGTTAGTATATGTTTTTTGGTTTTGTATAAATTTTCAGTTAGCAGTGTGATGATCATATTCTTATGAAACTTCAACCAAGAGGTGTTTGGTATCTGACTGTAATTGGTACACTTGCAAGTTGCAACTGGTCAGAGGGAGTTTGTGGCTTTGGGTGCATTTTGTTGTCTTAATTCCCAGGTAGATTTTACTTTGGCATTGACAAAACCATTTGTTCACATTGCTAACTCAATTTTTCCCCCCCAATAGATGCAAGCTGCAATTCTCAAGCCCACCCCAGAATTTCTTGCCAAAATATGAGCAGCTGACTGTTCATGACTCATGACCCCTGCGATGCCCCCAATGCTTCCACCAAAAATTTTGTGGATCATTTGCAGAATGGTAGAATACCTTCACGAAGTGCACCAGCTTCCAGAAATCCAGTGGGCTGCTACGCGCACAGCTAGGCGTGTTGGATCAGGTTGACCCGGATTGGGTCCGTGTGGATCTCATATTAATTGAGTTGGGTCAATTGAGTTTTTACTTTGTAAGTGAAGGATCCACTTATTTTTTTTTTTGGTAGTAGAAGGATCCACTCATGATTCACCCATACGGGTCAAAAATTGGATTGACTTGTCATTTTTTATTTTTAATAT